TCATTGGCACTTAATAGATTAAAACAGACATGGTTCTATATTAAAGAATTATTTAATAATTTTCCATCTGGTAATAATAAATTGCATAAAATATCTGTCATAAAATCTGAAGTTGAATCAATCATGAATGTATTCTTTTTACAGTCAGATCAATCTGAAAAACAACGAATGTCATTTTCAATCGCATGCGCATCGGCATGGAAAAAACTTGGAATGTGGGATCAAATTGCATGGATCAATAAAGATGATTCTTATATCAACGAGGATGGCGAATATATGCGATATCAACCAGCATTCACTCATTTGATTAGTGAAGAAAACCTAGATGAAATGACAAACACTATTCATTCACAAAGAATGTCACCTCAAAAATTATTGTTTTTGCTTAATATTCTACCACAATCTCTACAACAATTGTATTACAACACAATCATCTCATCAACTCATAATACTAATTCATTATCCCTAGTTATGTTCTTATCTCAATGTTTAATCCATTTGGAACATTTCGAAAAGACTGATTTTAATATGTATCTCGCCTTACTAATATTGTATCCTTTATTGAAAGAACACATGTTGGAAAACTATGCTTTAATACTTTATAAAGAAAAATATTCTTGGTTGACATCAATTCTAGATAAAGATTGTAATACGTTATTGAAAACGATACAAAATCGTAAACTACTTGATCCATTTCTTATCGATCAATCAGAAGATTTGACAATACTCATCAGTGTTGAACATCATCGTATACGTGAAGCAAAAAATTCAATTCAAAATCAACAGAAAGATTTGCGACTTTTTGCTGCATCCATATCCCTTGCTCGTCTTTTACAAGCTCAACACCGTTGTCGTACAAACCCTCCGACAAATACTATTCTTATCGATTCTACGGAGAGCAAAGCAGTATATTTTACAATAACAAATATACTTGATTCAGTTTTACGAATCTTTGCTTTAAGCTTTATAATAGATATGAAAGATCCGTTAATATTTGATGAAGAACAAAGAGATCAATTGCAACGTGAAATGACTACTGAATTACAATCTCTGCTACCACATGTCTCATTACTAACAGCAACTATTTTATTTATTCGATGTTACAATATATGTTCTCAACAGATGGCTAATATAATCGTTGAAAAATTTAGAAATGAATCACTTAACAAACAAAGTCAAATTGAAGAAGCAGTATTCATTGCATTGAGACAACTCAAAAATTCAAATCTTTCACATTGTTTATCAGAGTTTGCTAAACGAAAAGATAATTTATCTGATCTACTTCAATTAAATTCAACAATATTCTTTCACTATTTTAATAAAACAATATCATTCGATTCATCGAATAATATTCTTCTATCTTTGATGTATCTATTTGAATTGACTTTTGATGCTGAAATTCTTAGGATGTATGTAAAAGATAATCATAGAAATGATATTTTACCTTTGAAAGAACTAAAACAATTATGGAATGAATCGTCAAAAGAGAAGAAAATTATGACATATAAACTTGCAATATGGATTACGAATAATTTACAAATGTTAAATAAACAAGATCTTCATCAGATTATACAAGATATATCTCAATGTTCGATGATAGAAAGAAAAGCTCTTGTAGTAATTGAGAAACGGCTCGACTATCGAATGGATAAAGTTCTGAAAGTTTTTGCATACTATGCTGCATTACAATTGTTTATTGAAGGTTCAAATATTCCAGATTTGATCGATATCATAAATGAGATATTTTATAATAATGATAAATTCAATTGGAAATCAATTATTGAAAATTTGATTAGTTCTCGACTTGTTAATTCAAATATTGTTCGTCAAATTTTAATCGCATTACATAAAAATATTCATCGTTATTCGAACTTTTCTATTTCGATTTCTTGTAAAGAAATGTTTGAATTATTTCTCAATTTAGAACTAAAAAGAGTTATTTCAAATGTACATGAATCATCTAAAGTTTTATTTAATTCATTTTTATCAATGATTAGTTATTGTTCAGCAGATTTGAAACTTTATCTTGTAAAAAATTTTCGCTTATATTTAAACTTTCAATCTAAATTCGAAAATACTATTAAAGATGAATATTTTGCTGTTATTATCAAATGGATGAATAAAAATTTAAATTGTTGTAATACCGATGATTTTTTAATAGAATTATACAAATACATTATTACACTTCCAGATGTTAAACAATTTCCTCTAGTTTGTAAGGTAATTATTAATATTCTCAATAGAGAATACCGAAATTATTTTACAAGAGATAAGAGTACGCTTTTGCAAGATGATATAATCATTGAATTGGAGAAAATGATTTATTCTTCGTATACATGCTCAGAAGATATTTTAGCTGTTTGTTTATTAGCTTATGGTAATTGTTTAATTAAGTTACATGAACTTGAAATGAGTCGAAATGTGTCAATTGAGATGAAAAATATTCTTACTATTATTTCTGAAAGATCATCATCATCATCATCATCAGAAGTGATTTCTATCAGAGCTAATTGCTGTTTATTATTCATCGAATCTTCAAATATAACTTGTCTGGCATTATTGAAGTGGTTTAGAAACAAATCATATATAACATCTGAAAAGCGATATAAGATATTATTGCAGCAAATGTTATATTGCATGAAGAATTCATCACGTACCGCATTTGTAGATGAAATAATTGATAACTTAAAAACACATTCTACTGAGCTTATTAATTTATTTGTCATTGATCTATACAATTATTTGTGTAACATAGATAAATTTGACTATCTTTCTGATTCTACACCTAGTTATATCGGTATAGCAGGAGATATCAGTAGTAGTAATTGGAATGAATTTCGAAATGCTATTCAAAGAAGTTTATTTGGTGAAGAAAAGTACAAAAGAGAATTATATCAATGTTGCAAAAAGAATCCATCTAGCGGCGAAGCATTAATAGATCATTATGCAAAGTTTGGTGTGCTTACAACTGAATTAGTTGAAATGTGCGAAGGGTATACAGATAATGCTTTTTTTGGCATTGAACGAGGTCCAAAATTGAGCAACCTTAAAGTGTTTGATCGAAATGTGATTGACAAATTGTTTCAAGTTTTAGATTTGAAAATGTATGATAGAAAATTCAAAAATTCTTTATGGATATTGAAAAATCTTGCCAAGAATCATATTATATCTTTGTTAGAAGCACACCAAAGGATTCCACTTATAAATAATATCTTAGATTACAATGATAATCAGCTTTGGAAGAGTGAAGAATATATTTTTGAATTGTTATTGAATACTAGTTGTTTTAATGAAGGAGTTTTATATGATTTTAATAAAAGATTTTTTACTAAGAGTGATATTGATGAAGAATTCGAAAAAATAATTAATTTTCTTGACAAGAAGTTAATTCTCTTTGTCAAAAGAAATAACTTCTGAGCAGTTATCAAATAGTTCGAACTAAGAAGATCATTTTATGTTTCTATCAGATTCTTGTACCATCATATGTTTGTTTTTTTTCTATAGTACATGCTATTATATAATTAAGACCATTGTTAACTTCAACATTTTATCTCTATCGAATATTTTTTTTCATTATTGTCAAACTCTTTTTGTTTTATTGTTGTAGTATTTTCATTTTGAATCTTCTTTATTTTATCCATGTATTCTTTAACCACACCCCACACCCAATTATGAACGAAACGATTATTCGAAAAAGAGACACAGATTACTTGGCAAGATCCTACAGAAAATGTGCTTGCTCATGACATGTTTGATAATGTGTAATTTAAATAGATTTGATTATAATCAATTTACACTTGGATAAATCATACTAATGATCTATCATAACAATTAATATATTTGACTGAGTTTCTAATAGTAAAACAAGGATAGATAGGGTTTTTTTTCTTGTATTGTATTTCGAGATTCTTATTCAGCGGTAATACATCTGTTCAATTATTTACAATACGAGTTTTCACTTGCGTCACAGGAGCAACAGCTCGAACAGGCTGTCGGCACCAAAGCAATTTTTTCATCTTGATTCGAAGTTCAGGCAATGAACCGATACACAAGAAAGGAAAAAGAAGAATTCCGAATGCAGGGAAAGATGTGGCAACAACTAACATATTGGTGACAGCTGGAGTCATTATACCGCATAAACTGAGCCACGTACCAAATGTGTACGGAAAATTGCAAAAAAGAAAAAGAGCCGATATGAATAACATTTGAATAGTCATTTTGCGATGTTTTCGCCATTGGATTGGTTGACGTAGCCGATTTTTTTGTAGTATAACACGCACAATAAGAGTAACATTGAAAACAACAATAATTAAGGTGGGTATACTGTTATTGACTATTGATTCATACCATAAAGTGATTGGATTGTTAAAAAAGCAATAGTTGTAACATGGAGCGACTGTGTAATCGGTAACAATTTGACAAGGAGGAAAGAAAAAGACAAAAATATATAAGATGATACAATAGAGAACAATTATAGAAGAAGGAAGATAATGAATTAAAATAGTCTCTTTTTAGTTGCTATTCTCATCTATCATGAAAGATGAGAATATGCCGTTCGATGGATGCCCAAGCGACGAGTTGCAATTGTATAAGATAAAAAGTTCCATCAGTATATGCCCAGAAAATACAAAACATAGGTGATTGGAACATAGCAATTTTGACATAATAAGAATAAAGATACGATGGAATATCAATCAATTCCAGAATTAGATCGCAAAAAAGAACAATCATAATGGCATGATTATTGAGTGCATTTCGTAGATTTTTATCGAATAGAAACCAATAGAAAAGCAACAAACAGCAAATAAATGACGGAATGAGCAATACAAGATAGACCCAAAATCGAACTTCATTAGGAATTATTATTTGAGAGATGCTAGCTGTTATGATATTGTAGGAATCGTTGAAAGTGGTGGAGTTGTTGAAATCACTTAACATTATCCCGGGAGAGAAAGTGTAAGAATGAAGATGTGCAAAAAAAGTGCTTTTTATTAGAGAGGACGAGAGATAATCTAGTTTACGACAATACTAATGACTCCATCCTTTTTCCATTTCGCTTGGTTGCATTCAAATTTTAATGCATGCATGTAGACTTTGTCATAGAGTGAGAAATTGAGAAGATTTATTCTATCGTATATAACTGAGAATGGCAAGAATTTAACACGTTTCTTTTGTGACAATGACGCTGATGTAAACTAATTAGAGCAAGCCTGAAAAGAGATGTGAGCCGCCAAGCGAGGATAATCGAATCCTTTTCAATGTGTTGTTCCATCTTTCCGAAAATTTTATCCCAACACCATTTCAACACTTAGATTAAAAGTCTCACAATCGATCGAGTCTCAAGCCATTTCGGAATTTATAGGGTGTGGGTGTGAATGTAAGAAGAGAAGACATTAACACCCACACCCACACCCAGACATGTATTTTCACTGTCTCTTTAATGTGCTATAGAAATAGCAGAATGAACAGTCGTATGTTCTAACTTCCATTTGCTCTGGGCTGAGAAAAATGATTGTCACCGAGCATAAAAAAATTTGCTTAGTTTCTGCCAGAATAACTTTTTTTAGAAAGGAAAAACGTCAGATTTATTAAAGAAAATTTTGTGATGTCATCAAATAGTCATTATTAGGTTGGAATAAATGCTAATGCCAATAAATATTCTTCTGCCAGTTTATTCGATATTAATTTACCATTTTTGTTTAAATCAAATGTCAATATTTTCTGTGTTTCTGAATTCAAAACAATCATTGCAAAATAATATCCTTCATAGCAATTTCCAGCCGATGGTTCGTAATCATTGAAATTGTCTGATAAAACGTCTATTGTACCATTATAAGGGTTTAAACGTACCAAACGACAGCCACGCTTAGTTATAAAACTTTGCATACCATAAAAAGCATTCGTTTTATTATCATAACATAAATAGGACGGTAAATCAGAATTTGAAATTCGACTTATTATTTTTTGTTTGATTAAATCAATACCAACAAGAAGATCTTTGAGACCAGATACTACTGTCACAAAATATTGATGATTTGTTGAATTATAAAAGATTGTCATTGAATCAGGTGAAACACCGTTAACTTTGGTAATATTTACCCATCGTGTAGCTATAAAATTAATCGGATCTATCTGAACGATACTTACAGGATTTTCATCTGGACTTGACATTTGTAATGAATATAATTTGCCTGTACTACTATCGACACGTAAGCCAAATAGTTCGGCATAATTTTCTGTGATAATTTTTCGGTATTGTTTTGTGCCATTGAATGGATTAACCAAAATCAATGATATCGATGATTCTCGTCTTACTGCTGCTTCACTACCGAAAACATAGAAGATTTTATTAATAAAATCATAGGTAACATCGTACGGTTTGTAATCACTCAAAAGAGTGAATATCGTAAACTTTCCAGTTAATGGATCAATTCTGTATAATTTATTTGATGTTGGTCCAAGTTCAAACGTTGCTCCTAATAAGTAGCCTTTTGGAACTGTTGACATGCCATTGATAGCATTAAAGATGATGTATGACAATAGTAATGAAAATAGAAAAGTATTACTCATTAATCTAAAACTGAATACAAATGTACATTCGGAATTTTTGGATGTCATATATCCGAATTCATCTATACCGATCAATAGTATTACAGGTTAAAATTTTGTATTCCAATCAGAGATACCGTGAAGTGATGAAGCTGGGGGATCAGCATTTTTTGCACCAGAGCTGATGTTAATTTTTTCTTTTTTCAGATTTATAAAGAAGATTCTACTTTGTCTTGTAGTCTTTTCAGAAAGAAAATGTGTTCACATCTAATTCAGAAAAATTTCTCCATACTTTTGCCGTCGAAAAATCAAGCTCTTCGTAAAGCAACAGATAATAAAACGTCGATAAAATCAAAACTTAGAGCTTTTCAAGTCGATAACTCTTATTTAGGTATTAGTTTTTCCTCGAAGCGAAAAGTTGTTCATATCCTAACTTTCAGCGGCAACCAAACGATATTTTTCGATTATTGAGGGGGTTGCCTTCTGACCCTGGGATATCCCATTGAAAATGATACCATATCCAAAAATTAGGAACATCGTCAATTGTTACCCAATGAAAAAGTTCCAATTAGTAATCAGGTTATCGTGCAGTAAAATCAAAATTGTGAATCGATTTGATAGATTTCATTATTGAAAAGACAAAGTAAATCTA